CCGAGGGGCCACGTGAGCGCCGCCGCCGCCTCCCCCTGCGGCGCGGCTGTGCGCAGATGATTTTTGCAAGGCCTCGGTTGCCCCCTCTCCCCGCTGCCCTGCTTCACTTGTCCCCCAGCTCCCCATACGTCCCCAGTGTTGTACCCCGAGGTGAAAGGATTTGGACTCACCACCCCCCCAGGTGCTTGAAAGGAGAGAAGGTTGGAGGAGGAGGAGGAGGAGGAAGAGATTGGGGGGGCTGCTGGTGGTGGTGACAGGGCTGGGAGAGAAAGGAGAGGGACGGAAGGGAGGAGGGGGCTGGGTGGGGTGGGGGTGACAGGCAGAGAGGAGCCTGGTCAACAAGCCAGCACCACTCTGCGAGGAGGCCAGGCCGGCTCGCAACCGACGCATCCTGTGTGAGGAGACACACATAGATTGCTTTCTTGGGGGCTCTTTGTCAGCCACCAACACGGGGAACACACACTGACACACACGTACACAAAGATCTGAGCCAGGTTGTGGGAGGTAAGTGGGGGAAGGAGAAGGAGGGGGAAACAGTGCCTGGTGGGCTTCGGGGTGGAGGGAGGGGGAATGCGCCCTGAGGGGCTCTGGGGGGCTGGTGAGGTGAGCATTTCCAAGGCTGTGTGCTTGTGTGGTGGTGGGGGACACACGATGACCTTCCTCTCTTCAGAAAGACCTAGAAGGGAGAGGCAACCCCCAGTGAGATCCCCCCGGTGCTGATGATTTTCAGGGACTTGTTGGCAACTCAGCGAGGGTTGCCATAGCTTTTTTATGTAGGGTGACCAGAACCGGCTGAAACTGGTTTGAGGCAGATCAGCTCCTGAACACAATGCAGTCACTGAGCTACTACAGTGGGATAGCAGCTTCCTCCCTTCATGGCAGCCAAAAGCAGAGGAGCTTGCAGGAAGGTGCCATCCCAACACAGTATGTGAATGCACACTTAGACACCACACAGCACTGGTACGTGACTAATGGAGCCCTAAAAGATCCTGTGTAGAGACGATGGGGAAAGAGGTGCAGGTTTGCAGGGTCTGAGATTACTTGGGCTTTTCCTGCCTTTTTCTTTTGCTTAAGGGATGGACAAGGAGCTGAGATTTATGACCCTTATTAAAGAAAAAAATGTGCCTTGCTAGGGTGGGGACACTTGGTTTATGCAGTCTCTCTCTCAGTCTCTCTCTCTCTCTCTTTCTTTCTGTATTTTTAACAAAACAAAACCAGAATGAACTGATGGATTTGTAATGGTAGTTTGTTTGTTGCTGAAGAATGCTACTTTGCATGCCTTTTTTTCTCTTGCAGGGTATGTTCTGTTTTGTGCTTTTCCTTTTAGAAGCTACTAAAGGGTGTTTGGGATACTTCTGACTATTATGAAGGCCAAAAGGTAACAATATTGTTCTAGGAAATGAGCATAAATGCGTTCCAGTGATGCTGTTAGCCATACATGCTGTCTTTTTTTTCCCTTGTAGGCCTGTTGACTGGGGCTGCTTTTAACCCTTTCATATTTGCAGAGAATGCAACCGTGTGACAGTAACTGAACACTGATCCAAAGTCTTTCCAAAAGGTCAAGGTTCACAAGGTGAGATATGCTGTTTTGAGCATGAATTTAAGTATTTGTTTGCAGATCCATTCATACACAGACTTGACAGTGGATTGGTACCCTGGAGATAATACAGGGTTCAGAGTGGAGAAGAAACTCTTAATGTTATCCACGTTTAAGGGGATTTCAAGTGACTTTTTGAAGGTATTGCTATCAAGGTGAAATCTGAATGCCTTCATTAAAATCGCATGTGCCTGGGCTTTTGGAGCAGTCCTGCCTAAGAAGAGGCAAGTTTAGAGAATACTAGGCAGCAGGGCCTTGTGGAGAATAGGCTGTTTTGCATAAGGCTGAAGCAGTACACATGTGGCATTTTCCTGATCATTGTAAGAAAAGGAAGGGCTTCACCAAATCGAGGCAGCCAAGCCACCTTTTTAGGATTTGAGGAGCCTGGAGGTAGATTCGCCTTTTGTTCATTCATCACCTTTCTTTTACCATGCTCTCTGTGTTAACCTGAAAGGCTTTTCACTTCGAGTCAAGTGGTGGAATGTCTTTTATTGATTTTGGGGGCTGTTGACTGGTGAGTTGGCCATTGGATTATTTGTGGCATACATTTTAATGTGGAATACTAATGCAAGACCAGGAGGAAACCGGGTAGTCTGGCTTATTCTGTGCAAAGGTGCCTGTTAAGTCACAGCTTTACTGTCATGGGTGGTAGAAATGTCTATGCCTCAGATGATTGCAGTTGGATTTGAGCTGGCATTTCACGCACCCTCTCAAACCAGAGGTTGGGGAATAGAGGAGAGGAGCAGAAGAGAGGAGAAAGCATAAGGAATGTAGCAAAGTGAAGAACAAAGGCTGTGGGAGCTTTCAGGGGAACACTAAACATTTTGCCTTGGGGTTCCTTGTGAAAAGAACTGCAACTTCCCCAAACAGGAAACCAGTCACTCCAGACTCGCATCCAGCATGATCTCAGCAACAGAACTGGTTCTGCCTTTCTGCTGGTTTGGTAGAGGTACAGTCAAGAGGAGCTCGTAGGAGACATGATTGCAAATACATTTCTCCCTCACTTTGAAGTGGATATTTTGTTCCTCTCTGTGTTCAATGGAATAGCCTTGTCAAGAAATGCCCAGGATCTTGGAAATTGGTTAAGTTTTATGCTGGCAATTGGTGGGCATATCTGCAGCGCAGGGTGTTAAGTATGCAAAGGTTTTTATTGTTGAAATGTTTTCCATTTGGCTGCAGAACATTGCCTGTGTGATAAAACTGGCAAAAGGGAAAACAAGAGTGCATGGTTAGCTGGGAATACTTTGTGTAGTATTTAATAGAGATAAATGTAATCTTAGACTGATATACCAGTAAATAGCTAACATGATGGAACAGAATTCTTTGCAAATCACTATGCTAAAATTGGTTTTCAATTCTACCTCATTTTCGATTGCCAGAGGTTCTGCAGATGACTGTGGCAGAAATATGCTTGCATAGCAGATCCGAATCCATGTTGCATGATACGCTGTTCCTGCAGTTCTGGTGCCAACTAAAACTCAGATGGTTAATATGATAAACCTTAATTAGCTTCATACAGTAAGCTGTTTTATCATTTAGTCCTTCGTTCTTCTCTTTTAGAGTTGGTGATTTTTATTTAACTTTGACAGTTCAGCCCTTGCAATGATTATTTCTTGAGAAAAATGTTTAAAAAGCCTTTTTAGGCACAGCGTGTCATGGAATGTTCTGGTTTACTCTCTTAGAGGTTTCAGCTTTGTTCTTCCTAGTCCCCCTAGAAGTCTTCCTGAAAATAGTGTTCATTTTGCATTTAAACCAGTCTTTCCAGCTGCAAATGTTGCTGAAGGTTAGGGAGCTGGTTCTCCAGGCAGCGGCCATGAGCTCATCCTGGACTGGGGCTTGCCCCAGGTGTTGATCTCATGCTGCGCCATAACAATGCAGCAGGCCCAGGTCTCCCTGGAGAGGAACCCAGTGCGTTCTCGGGAATTAGCAAAGGCATGCTCCTCCCTGAGAGGAGCAGGAGGGATTGTGGAGGCACCCACCCTCGGGGCGGGGGCCTGTGCTGGAGCCTGAGCCTGGCGCCTGCCTGGGAGGGCCTGGAGCAGTCTCTGAGGAAGACCTGTGGGCCATTCCCTCTGCTGCAGGAATGTGTGGGTTTGGCCCAGAATGTACGGGAAAGAAAGTGTTTTATCTTTTGCCTGAAATTGAGTCATATTTTCCATGTGAAGTAATGGCGGATGCAAGGTTTTGAGAAGTCTCAGCCTAATCTGCTTCGGGATCCCTTCTGCTCTCTTTTCTCCTTCTTCTCAGAGACCCCCCCCCTTCCCCCACTTGACTCATTTTTAAGGAAGGTCTAGGAGGAGTAGCCAACATGTAAGTGGAATATTTTGATTATACCTTTGACTTGGATGAGTTTCTAACCCAGATGCTTTCTTGGGCTTTGCTGTGGAACAGTCTGTCCTTGGTGGCTTTGAATAACCTTTCTCCTATCCCTGATAGAACTCCACTCTGCTGTGCACAGCTGGTGCCCAGGTTGCCCTCCCATGGAACCTTAAAAAAACACCAGTACCAGGGAAGCTGAAGGGATCTGAAAGACATTTGGGGTGGCTCCTTTTCTGTCCCCAAAGAGCTCTTCTTCTAGTACGTACTAGCAAAACAAGAACGGCAGCCATGGTGGACACTACAGAAATCCGTAACTTGGTGGTAATTATATTGTAGGGATAATCTTTAACCAGACAAGCCATAGCTGAAGAATGAACTTTTTCAGTGTGTGTATGGTACTGAGAATTGACCCGTGGGACTTATGCATGCTAAGTCATTGCTCTGAGCTGTATCCCCAGGCCTTTCTGCGTTGAGGCAGGAGCTCACTGAATGCCCAGGCTTTTGTGATCCTGCTGCATCAGCTGGGTTGTGTGCATGCACCACTGTCCCCAGCAAAAACTGACTCATCTTTGGTGGTACTGGGGATACAGCCTTTTGCATAAAGGTACATCTGTGGCTCCTTTTGTTTTTTGAGGCTGTCCTGGTTAAGTTGCCCATGGTGGGTTGTAACTTTAGATCCCTCACCTCAGCCTGCCAGAGTGCTGTGTGTATCGAGGTGGCACCTGGACCAGGCCAGCTAGCTGGCAGTGCAGGGGATTGAACTGGGGTGCAAGTGCCCTATCAATAAGTTACATTTCCCATCCCTTTTAAAAATTTTATTTTGAGATGGGAGTTTCTCTGCATTGCTCAGGGGCAGACCTTGATTTTATCAATCCTTTTATCCCCCACTGCTGAATAGCTGGGATTACAGGCAAGTATCACTGTGTCAGAAAAAAATGACCTTTTAGAAATTTTTATTTACATGCAATGAAATTTAATTTGTGGCATGCAGTTCCTTTGATATATGTATAGTCATGTGTTTACTGCCATAATCGGTTTGTGAGAGTCCCATCGTGCCATGCCAAAATGTATGCCCCTTTGTCCTGTACACCCCCTTTCCCTCAGTTGAACCTAAGACCTTCATAGTGAGCTGTATCCTCAAAAGCCTTTGTAATTTTTATATTGAGACAGAGTCTTGGCAAATTGCCCAGGCTGGACTCACACTTGGAGTCCTCTTGCTTCGGCCTCCCAGAGTTCTGGGACTATGGCCATGTCCCTCCTCCACACTTGCCCCTTTCTATTTGGACTCTTCTCCCCACTGGCAGTCAGCATCCTACTCTTGGGACATCATTCTTTGTCTCTGTTGTTTTGACTTTTCCAGGATGTCATAAAAATAGCTTCTTAGGAGGATGGCATTTGTGGTTTGCTGGGAGTGGTGACGCAAGCCTGTAACCCCAGCACTCAGGGCTGAGGAAGGTGGATCGCTTTGAGTCTGAGGCCAGCCTGGACTACAAAGCAAGACCCTGCCTGTCTCCAAAGGACCCCACAAACAACAACAAAACTGTGATTCATCAATCTCTATAGTTGGTGTGTCAATACATTTTTATTGCTGGTTAATATTCCATAGTCCACTTTGTTGATTCCATATTCCATTTTTATTCACCACTTGACATTAGAACTGTTTCCAGGTTTTGGTGATTGTGCAAACAGTGGCGGTAAACATTTATGCACCTTATAGGTTTTTCTGGGAATACGAGTTTTTTTTTTTTTTTTTGAGAATGGCTTTGCTCTATTGCCCAGACTGATCTTGAACCCCTGTGCTCAAGTGATTCTCCTGCTTCAGCCTTCCAAGTGTAAGTTTTCATTTCTCTTGGTAAACATTTGGCAATGTCTGCATGTGTCTTTTGGTGTATTTACAATAATTAAAAATCTGTTTGAAAGTAAATTCAGCTCGTCTTAACTTCACAGAAAAGATCTGGCCTTGACAGCTGCAGTTAAGACTTCCCAGGAAAGAACGGGTGAATGCTGAAGACGCTTGCGAGATGATGGTGATAATAGAATAGTCTCTAATAGGATGACATGCTTTATAACCCTGAACTAATCGGAATTAGCAAAAGTGGAAACAGAAAGCTGCAAGTGGTAAAATACCCTGTTTTACCTCAGTAGTTACTTTTAATCTCTTCAGAAACATTTGGTAGTTTAAATTTTACATTTGTTTTCAGGTTCATTAAAACACTACACAATAATAGACTTGAAATTTAGGAAAGTACTACTAAAGATCCACGTTGAAATTTTGCTTGTATGTAAATACCTTCATTGTAGTTGACTTATCGAGTGTAAAATGGTGGTACTCCAATATTTGAAATCGTTATTAAATATTATTTAGCTTTTTATTGTTTGCTTTTTGCTTTTTTTGAGACCAGATGTTGTAGTGGGGGCCAGCCTTAAATTCACTGGTTATCCCAGACTGGCCTTGATCTTGCCATCTTTCTGCCTCAGCCTTCCAACTTTATTCAGCTTTGATCCCGTGTAAGGAAGTGAAAGAAATTTTTTTTTTTTGTTGCAGAACCGGGGATTGAACTCAGGCCCTTGCGCTTGCCAGGGAAATGCTTATTCCACTGAGCTATCTCCCCAGCCCCGAAAGAAAAATTTTTTTAAAAATTTTATTTGAGGGGCCA